ATCTAAATGACGAATCAACGGCAGGTAATAAACAACTGGGTGTGTCAGGAGGGGGAGGGGGAAAAACAAGAAGCTAGCGCTGGAGTGACTCTACATCTCTTTCCCATCCAGCTTAAAGTCAGGAGGCAGGAATCTTCCACTATAAAAATATCAATCCTGAAAAAAACAAATAAAGGCATTCTCTTCCACCCTAGAAAATGCTTCTTTGATTTGAACCGTCAATAACCAGTTGAAAGGCACCATCATTTTCTAAAACCTCGAGGATCTGCTTGAGCCAGATAAATACACAAGACTAAATTAAAGAAATGCACCCTCCCAAGGTACTACATTCACGCTCTGGGCCCAGCAACCAAACATCTATTCAATAATGGTTTTATTAATAGTGAGCTTTCAACATGTCATTGCTGGCAGGACTCAGAGGACCCAAGAATGAGTGAGGAGCCAGAGGAAAGCTTGTGTGTCCCCACGAACACATTACCCATGGTTTCCAAAGTGGAAGACAGGAATGATACAGGGGAGGAGGAGCTGCGTTTCAGACACAAAGTTGGAAGTGGTAATAATTTGTAATGGCTTCAGCCAACCATGTACAATGGGAAGATGACACATGTGTCACTTAGAATGTGCCAGGCCAAATACAATAACTTATATTAATACAGACAGATTCTTCCCGGGTTATTATGCAAAGGAAAGGAGGGTGTGATAATTCTAATTAAATGAAAGGGCCAGCCATTATTTTAAACTTCTGGAACTTTTCAAATTCTAATATGCTCCTTGGATGTACCTGGGGGGATTCAGAGACTGTAATGAAGCCGTTTAATTTTTATCGAGATGAAACACACGCATCCATACACACACATCCCGGCAGCACATGGATACCCCGCATTCTGCTACCGGAAGAATCAGGGACTCAGAAAGCAAGTGGGTGAGTGAATTTGATTTTGAATGCTCCCAGGGTGGTGCTGGGCATGCCACAGTCCTGTTGTCATTTTCTCATTTACTCTGGAATGGCACAAGGGTTACTGTTCTTGGGTTGAGGGACAGCAGTCAAGTTCTCGTCAGCACAGTGGGTAAGCCATCAATTTCTTGATTTGGGAGGAGGCTACCCAAGAGTGCCAAGATCCTTGTCTCCCAATCGTTAGCCAACTTTCTTTACTCTGCGATAAACGAAATCAATTCCAAAAGAACAAGGAAACACCGGATTAGACATTCTAAACGCCTCTCTGTAGTACATACTGAGCAAATCACAGACTGTCTGAACTGGAAGGGACCTTGGGCAGCCCTGGCTCATCCACCCTAGGGCCCGTAGAGAGTCAGTGACTGGCCCAAGGTCACACAACAAATGTGCAGCAGAGTCCAACATCCCTGGCCTGTGGACTTCTTGGCCAATTTATCAAGCATTTTTGGCTGAAAATCTTTGAAAGATCTACTTTTTTATTATTATTAGCTTGGCTCCTGTTTGTTCAAGATAGACTTTTCAAAAATCAAATATTTCAATATAATGCAAATAGTAAATGGCTTGCCTTATCCGCACCTGTCCCTGATGATTCAGCAAATAGGCTTCAAGAGAGGGATGGGAGCCCCATCAGACAGAGGATAAAATCCTCACTGAACTTGCCCTAACAATGGATACTTGATTTGTCAGAAGAGAAGTGGAAGAACCCTTTTATACTCAATCTCCTCTGTTCACTGAGAGGAGGTGACCCTCTCTGATTCATCAACTCTTATGGAATTTGATTCCTAAAATTTAATTTTCTTTATACACACACACACATACACAGGCACACACGCACACACACAATTAATCTCTCCTTTGAGAAGCTCAGAGGATCTTTCCCCACTTTCTACCTGCAGAGGAAAAATAAAGATTTCAAGACTGAAAACATATCTCCTGAATACCCGAAACATGGAAACAACCTAAGTGTCTACTGACAGATGAAGGGAGAAAGTAAAGGTGGCATATAATTTATATACAATGTAATATTATTCAGCCATTTAAAAAAGGAAATCTTGCCATTTGTGACAACACAGATGAACCTGGAGGACATTATACTAAGCAAAATCAGCCAGACACAGAAGGACAAATACTGTATGATCTCACTTATAAGTGGAATCTAAAAACGTTGACCTCATGAAAGTAGAGAGTAGCACAGTGGTTGCCAGGGTTTGGGGGTGGGGGAAAGGGGAGATATTGGTAAAAATTCCAGTTATAAGACGAGTAGGTTCTAAGGATCTAATGCACCGCACGGTGACTACAGTTAATAATTCTGAACTGTATTCTTAAAATTTGCTAAGCGAGTACATCTTAAGTGTTCTTATCATGAAAATAAAGTAACTGTGAAGTGATGGATATGTGAATTAGCTTAACTGTGGTAGTCATTTCGCGATATAAGGGTGTATCAAATATCCCATTGTATACCTTAAATACATACAATTTTTACTTGCCAGCTACACTTCAATAAAACTGTGGGAGGAAAAGCAAAAAATAAATGAAATAAACAAATAAAATTTAAGAAGAAGGAAAAAGAAAACACGTCTCCTACTAAATGCAACGTGATATCCTGGAACAGAGGAAGGACAGAAGCAGAAACACTGGTGCCATTTGAATAAAATCTGAAGTTAAAATCCCTGCACCGTAGCTTATAAAGAGGGGCTGGAAGTGCAGAAATCCCGGTTAAGGGCAGTTTGTACCTCGTAGAGAAGCCGGGGCCTCTTTGGGCTTTCAGTTAAGGGACTTAACACCTTTAATTTTGTGGAAATGTGTCAACAGCTGCAAGTGTTCTAAACTGTCCCTGAAACTCCCGCCCATCCTGCAAGCCCAGGCCCTCCTGAGGCCTCAGAGATGAGGTTCCGCCTCCTTCGTTTTAAATTCCATCCATGGAAAGTCCGTCCCCCTTTCTCCCCGGAGTTAAGGTGACACAAAGCAGCACTCCTTTGCCTGTTGCTTCTGGAGGGTCCAAAGGGGGTGTGTTCCAGGCTAGTTATATGTCTGGCATTGGCCGGAAGGAAGACGGTCACCCGAGAGGCAAGCGTTCCCTCAGCCTGCTCAAGAAAAGTGACAGGGGTAAGGAGCTGCCCGGATGGCACTGGCTCTCACCCATCCAAGGGCAGTTCTCTCCTATCAACACCACCCCGCCCCGCGCCCCCCAAGCAAGGGCAGTTCGGGAGCTTCAAAAGCTATTCCAAGAGCGTTCAGGTCTGTCTCTGGAAGCAACAGGAGTAAACACAGGAGCGAAGGCCTGGCGCTGTTCTGAGTCACTGGGTAGCAGCACCTTGGTGTAGTCGAGGGACGTTCAGGGAGAAGATGCAGAGCGCCATCAACGAGATGAGGGAGGGCCAAACGGAAACTCACAACTGAGCAGCTCCAGCCTTAGAGGTGCCGCAGAGTCTGGGGTGGGAACTGAAGGGAGACTCAGTGTTTTGAAAGTCCAGGTTACCTGAGGCCTTTCCCAAGTCTATCACCTTGTGATGATTAAGCTACCTGAGTCCTTTTAAACTGCCGCTAAAATTGAATCCACGTTTATAAATGATCCACATTTGGATCAAGTATCTTTCAAGTATAAATGGATCATCTGGGAACTCCAGACCTTTTCGGGTCAAAGGCTAATGGACTGTTTCTTTATAAATAGGTGGAATGTCAGATAACAGGAAGAGATTGGCTGGGGGGAGGAGACAGAGAGGAGGATGCCCGGAAACCCACGGGGAGCTCTGTCCGCTGCACCCCCTGAACAACAGAAACTCATCCGTCTTTTTTCAGAAGCAGTGAAGAAGTTTCTAAAGTCCTCAGGGGCCTCCCCGAGGGGCAGACAGATCAGAAAGCAAATGAGGGAAGCCAAGGCCAGAGGATGGTCATGCTGCAGGTGAACAGTCAGGAAGTGGGTTCAAGATGCTCCTGGCCACAGGTCATTAACAGACACAGGAAGTAGCCTGGGGACCTCTGCTGCCTAAGCGCTCCCCAGCGGCCTGCAGGCCCTCCGCTGGAGTCCAAAACACCTGCATAGAGGGGACCCGAGGCAGGGGCGGGTGGTGGGGTGGTGAGAAGCTGGGTCACAGGCAGCCCCAATCCCCTGGGAAGCATTTTCCCTGCAGAAGCAGATTGTGTCACTGTTCCTTTTCCCCAGAACCCTTCACTTCTTGCACACAAAGGTGGTGGTGGTGGTGGTGGTGGTGGTGGTGGTGTGTGTGTACCCCTGCAAGGGATCCCTGAATCCACACATAAACCAAACGCTCTCCACCTCGTACTCCAGTTGATCTGCAACAGCCCTGGGCTTGAGATCAACAAACATGTACATTCCTTTAAACAGCATGATTAAATCCCTAAGAGCTAGTTGTCAGGAGGTTATTTTTCTCAATTAACAGACACAAAAAGTACAACTACTCTCAAGGGGGTGGGGGATTTATTTTTGACGTTCAGGGAGAGCCTCCTTCCCAGCAAGGTTAGAGACACTTACAGTCCAAGTGAGAACCAGAGGTTATGGATGAGTGGGCAAGTGACGTGTCCCAAGATACATGGCCTGGTTCAATAAACAGCAGGGTCAGGCCAGAACTCTGTGGGTCACTAGACCAGCCTCCCTGGACCACTCTGAAGCTAACAAAACTTTCTTTCAGGGGCAAAAGCCTAGAGAATAATGAGAATAACAACAGCAGAAGGGGAGGTCACCCACTGATAACTAACTATATGCCAAGTAGAGACCTTATCTCTTTTAATGCTCATAAGAACCCATAGCCCCTTTCGCACTTTGTAATCACACATTTGCCTAAGTATTTGATAATGCCTGTCTCCCACGCACTAGCCTTTGTGCCCCATGAAGGCAGGGTCCATGTCCGTTTTGCCCATCATTATATCCCAAGTGCCTGGCATCTACTTGCTCAAAAAACTAGATGTTCCTGTTTTAAAGAAACACTTTTAAGAAAAACGGGACCCAGAAAGGTCAAGCGATTTGCCTAAGGACACACAGCATGGACTTAATGCCAACGTACTCACCCCCAAACCAGAGCCCTACCTTGACGGCCTCAGCGTGGGTCACCCGGGCCAGGGATTTGTCGTTGACACGCAGAATCTGGTCCCCGACTTGCAGCCCTTCCTTCTCGGCCAGAGAGCCTGGCTCCACCAGCGACACATAGATGCCCACGCCATGCTCCGAGCCCCCGCGGATGCTGAAGCCCAAGCCCTCGTGGGCCTTGGCGCGCCGCAGGCTCACTAGGCGCACCTCCCCGGGCCCCGCGCCGTCGGGGCCGCCCCAGGTGGGTTGCCTGTAGGAGGAGGTGGCGGGCAGGTAGAGACCCTCGGCAGTGTATTGGTCGAAGAGCAGCTGGTCGGAGCGCGGGATGACCAGCCGCAGCATGGGCAGCAGACGCCGCTTGACCGGGCTGTCCAGCAGCACGCGCAGGGTGCGCACCAGGTCGAAGACGTTGCGGCGCGCGTGGTAGGCGTTCAGACAGTGCGTGAACTGCTCCCGCTCCGCCTCGCTCAGCAGCGCCGTCAGCGCCTGGTGCAGCTGGCGCACGTTGGCAGACAGCAGTCGCAGCCCCGCGCCCCCGCCGCCGCCGCCCGCCCCGGCCGCGGAGCCCAGCGAGCCGGTGGAGGACGAGGTCACCGACAGGCCGTCCAGCTGCGCGTTCATCTCCCCGCCGAGGGCCGGGCGGACTCGGGGCGCGCGGTGGGGCAGCCGCTGCACTCGCTGGCACTGGCGCGACAGCTGGATCCCCGGGAGCGCGGAGATCGCAGCCGGAGTCTGGGTTTGGGAGCTGGGGGGACGCCGAGACAGGGGCTGGACCCGGGGAGACGCAGAGACGGCTGCCGGAGTCTGGGCTTGGGCGGGGCGGGGGGTGGGCACGGAAACAGTGCCTGAATCCTGGGGGTATCGCGGAGACCAGTGCTAGAGTCCCGGGCGCGCGAAGACGGAGGGGGTCGCGAAACTGGAGTCCTCGGGGCGCAGAGACGGAGGCTGGAGTCCAGAGGACGCGGAGACAGCCGCTGGAGTCCGGGCAAGGCGGAGACGGCGGCGGGGTTCCAAGGGACAAGGAGTTGGCGGCTGGAGCCCGGAGGTCGCGGCTACTGCGGCTGGAGTCCGGGGGGACGCGGAGAGAGCAGCTACATTCTGGAGGGCACAGAGACGACGGGTGGCTGCAGTGGGGTGGGGGGTGCCCAGCAAAGCTGACCGCCCCGTCACACCATGCCCGGGGCTCCCCCAGCCGGGCCGCCCGTTCCTCTCGGGCTGGGGGACCCCAAAGTCATAAGTTGGGGTGGGGGCGCTCTAGTCCCAGAGCCCCCCGAATCGCAGCTGATGGAGCCGCACGGGAGTCCGGCAGGGGGTGCGGGGCATGTCCGGGGCAGCCCCGGGAGGCAGCAGCCCGGGGACCCCTGCGACCCCCGAACCACCCGCGCGCAGACGGAGCCGCGCGGCCGCGAGCCGGGACTTTGAGAACTGTTGAGCAGCCCGGGGCCGATCTTCCAACGAGTTCCGACGCCGTCGCTCTCGCCAGCCCAGTCTTGGCCCCGCCCCCTTGCCCCTCCCCCTCTCCCGCCCCCTCCCCCCCGCGGGCTCTTCAGGAAATGACGTCCGGCTTCTCGCCTGGCGGTTGCCTGGAGACGGGGTGAAACAGTCCAACCCCAGGGAAGAAAGGGGTGAAAGTGGGGGTAGGGGTGGGAGGATAATGCGAGTCCCCTGACTTCTCCAGCCGCGGGCCGGGGGACTGGACCTCAAAAACTGTGCCTTTCCGCGATCGAAGCCTGTTCGTCAGGATCGCTTTGGTGCAGCTAGCCAGCTAGCTAATTCACAACTGAGGGGGGGGGGGGCGGGGAATAACCAACTTTTTGACCCTAAAATACTAAATGCTTCAGGCTCAATTTTCACCTTGAAAGCTCGCGGTCCCTTTTTGCACACACTAACATTCAAGTTCCTGTGTTTATGTGGACGATTGTTGGGCACCTACTGTGTGCAAGAAACCTATCTCTTCAAGCATATACTGGTGTCTGCAGGAGCCAACTCCAGTGCAGGGATAGATCAGACTGGACCCCTGCCCGATCTCCAGTAGGTGAGAAGAACGTTTTCACAAATAAAAAGTGGACACAACACACACACATGCAGATTAAATAGAAAACTCGAGATATCGGAATAAGGTGGGTGGATTGTATCAATGTCAGGATCAGGGTTGTGATCTTGTCAACAATGGGGGAAACCGGGGGAAGGGTATATGGGATGTCTGTATTATTCCTTACAACTGCATGTGAATCTACAATTATTTCAAAATAAACATTTTTTTTAAATGTGTATGAAGTGGGTTGGGAAAAATGTATTCTATGCCTTCCCATACCAAGACAAATGGGAAGATACTCCAAGGCTGGTTTAGAGACTCTCGTCCCCGTCACCCGCCCCCCAATACAATCTAAGGGAAGCCTGTGCTTTTATTCAGAGGTGACTTTCTAAGGAGCCCAGTAGCGACCCCAACACACACACACACACACACACACACACACACACACACACACACACACACCCCTACCTCGCACACATCCCCTCCAACCTGAATTGTCCTAT